TATATATTTTCTAATTTTCTACTTTATAGAATATAGCTATCATATATACAAGTATTCTATATTCTTGACACAGCAAATGAGGAAATGGTTAACAATCTCTCATATGGCAAGCAATGATCTCAACTACCTAGTACTCATATCCTTGTGTAATCTTCTCTTGAGTGGAAATTGAACTTTTGAACCAGTTCTAAGAATAACTGATGGCGGCATTTTTGGGTAAGGTTAAAAAGGTCTATGGCGGCTCAGAGCTACCTGAGGCCTGAGGACTGTGCACTGCAGATCCCATCCCAGCAGTCCAGCCCACCCAGAGACTGCCAGCTTCCTAGTCCCTTTTTTGCCCACGAGAGGAGTGTTTCTGGCCCGCCTTCTAGTGCCCTGCTCAGAGGTGCCTGAATCCATCCCGTAGGTCCAGCCCACCCAGAAACTACCAAGACTCTGGTACAAGTCCCACCTCCATCCATGGCAAGAGGAGAGGCATCAGAGTATTGGACCTGCTTGCACCCAACAGAAAGGGAACCTTGGTCCTGTACCCATCAGGAGAGGAAGAGACTCCTTCTGCACCCACTAGAAGAAGGGAAAGGAAGAAGGCAATATAAAAACACATTCAACAACAGAAAAACCAATATGATATCACCCAAGTCTAGGGACTCTACACCAGCAAGACCTGAACATTCCAATGCAGATGAAGCAGAAGAGAATGACCTTAAAAACAACTTCATGAAAATGATAGAGGCCCTCAAAGAGGATATGAGAAAATCCCTTAAAGAAATGGAGAAAAAAACAAACCAAAGAAATAAGAAATTAACAAATCTCTTAAAGAAGGCAAGGAAAGCCAAGAAAAAATAATCAAACAGATGAAGGAAGCAATTCAAACAGTTCAAGACATGAAAAATGAAATAGAGACAATAAAGAAAATGCAAACCAAGGGAATGCTGGAAATAGAAAAGCTGGGCAAACAATCAGGAACTACAGATGCAAGGATAACCAACAGAATACAAGAGATAGAAGAGAGAATCTCAGGTATTGAAGATACACTAGGAGAAATAGATTAGTCGACCAAAGAAAATCTTAAGTCCAACAAATCCCTAACACAAAATATCCAGGCAATATGGGACACTGTGAAAAGACCACACCACAGAAAAATAGGTATAGAAGAAATTGAAGAAACCAACCTCAAAGGTGCAGAAAAAATGTTCAACAAAATCTTAGAAGAAAACTTTCCCAATATAAAGAAAGGCATTCCAATGAAGGTACAAGAAGCTTACAGAACACCAAATAGAGTGGGCAACAAAAAGTCCCCTCACCACATAATAATCAAAACCTCAAACATACAGAATAATGAAAGCATATTAAGAGCAGCTAAGGAAAATGTTCAAGTAACATATAAAGGCACACCTATCAGAATTACACCTGACTTCTCTATGGAAACTCTGAAAGCCAGAAGGTCCTGGATAGATTTTCTACCAACACTAAGAGACCACAGATGCCAGCTCAGACTACTATACCCAGCAAAGCTTTCAATCACTATAGATGGAGAAAACAAGATATTCCATGACAAAACCAGATTTAAACAATACAAATTCACTAATTCAGCCCTATAGAAAGTTCTGGAAGGAAAACTCCAACCCAACGAAGTTAACTATGATCAGAAAACACAGGAAACAGATAATCCCACTTTACCAACAGCCAAAAGAGAAAGGGGTGGAAATCCACACACAATTCCACCACCACCAACAAATCCAAAGCAAACAAGAATGAACAATCAATGGTCATTAATATCCCTCAATATTAATGGTATCGCCTATAAAAAGACACAGGCCAACAGAATGAATACAAAGACGGAATCCATCCTTCTGGGCATACAAGAAATATACATTAACTTCAAAGACAGATGTTACTCAGAGTTAAGAGTTGGGAAAGATTTTCCAATCAAATGGACCCAAGAAACAATCGGGGTAACAATCCTAATATCTAACAAGTTAGACTTTAAAGTAAAATCAATCACAAGTGATGAAGAAGGTCATTTCTTACTAATCACAGGAGAAATCCACCAAGATGAAGTCTCAATTCTGAATATCTATGCCCCAAATACAAAGGCATCCACGTTCATAAAAGAGGCATTACTAAAACTCATAAAGTACTTAAAACCTCACACACTTATAGTGGGAGACTTCAACACCCAACTCTCACCACTGGACAGGACCACAAGACAGAAACTTAGAAAAATGGAATCAATTGAAAACCCTGATATTATCCCACACACCTACAAACACCTGATTTTTGACAAAGAAGCTAAAATTATACAATGGAAAAAAGAAGGAATCTTCAACAAATGGTGATGGCAGAACTGGATGCTGGCGTGTAGAAGACTGCAGATAGATCCATATCTATCACCATGCACAAAACTTAAGTCGAAGTGGATTAAAGACCTCAACATTAATCCATTCACATTGAAACTCTTAAAAGAGAAAATAGTGATATCCTCAAAAGAATTGGTACAGGAGACCATTTCCTGAACATTAACACCAGTAGCACAGACACTGAGAAGGACAATTAATAAGTGGGACCTCCTGAAACTGAGAAGCTTTTGTAAGGCAAAGAACAAACTCAACAAGACAAAATGGCAGCACACAGAATGAGAAAAGATATTCACCAACCCCACATCTGACAGAGGACTGATTTCCAAAATATACAAAGAACTCAAGAAGCTAGTCACAAAAACACCAAATAATCCAATTAAAAAGTGGGGTGCCAAACAAAATAGACAATTCTCAATAGAGGAATCTAAAATGGCAGAAATACACTTAAGAGATCCTTAGCCATCCAGGAAATGCAAATCAAAACAACTCTGAGATACCATCTTATACCTGCCAGAATGGCTAAAATAAAAAACACTATGGACAGTTTGTACTGGAGAGGATGCGAAGAAAGGGGAACACTGCTGGTGGGAGTGCAAACTTGAGGTCATAGACACTTTGGAAATTAGTAAGGCAGTTCCTCAGGAAAACGGGAATCAGTCTACCACAAGACCCAGCAATTCCACTCTTAGGCATATATCCAAAAGATGCACAATCATACAAGAACATCTGTTCAATCATGTTCATAGCATCACTATTTGTAATATCTAGAACCTGGAATGATCCTAGATTCCCCTCAACTGAAAATGGATGGAGAAAATGGGGTACATTTGTACAGTGGAGTACTACTCACCAGAAAAAAATGGAATTTGAAATTCACAGGCAAATGGATGGCATTAGATGAAACTATCCTGAGTGAGGTAACTCAGTCACAAAAAGACAAACATGGTATGTACTCACTCATATATGGATTTTAGACATAGAGCTAAGGAGTATCAGCTTACAATCCATACTATCAGAGAATCTAGTAAACAAGGAGGACCCTAAGAGAGACACACATGGTCTCCTAGAGAAGGGAAAAGGGACAAGATCTCCTAAGCTACTTGGGAGCATGGGGGACAGGGATAGGGAGTTAGGAGAAAGAGAAGGGGAGAAGACGAGGGGAGAGGAGGACATGAGGGAGCAGGAAGATTGAGTCAGGGAAAGAATAGCAGAGAGCAAGAAAAGAGATACCATAATAGAGGGAACCAATATAGGTTTAAAGAGAAATCTGGCACTAGGGAAATGTCCAGAGTTCTACAAGGATGACCCCAACTAACAATCTAAGCAATAGTCAAGAGGCTACCTTAAATGTTCTTCTCCAATAATGAGATTGATGACTACCTTATATGCCATCCTAGAGCCTTCATCCAGTAGCTGATTAAAGCAGAAGCAGACACCAAAGCTAACTACTGAACTGAACTCTGATATCTCATTGCAGAGAGGGAGGAGTGAAGAGCAAAGAGGTCAAGACTAGGCTGGAGAAACCCACAGAAACAGCTGACCTGAACAAGGGGTTGCTCATGGATCCCAGACTGATAGTTGGGAAACCAGCATAGGACTGATCCAAACGCCTTAACGTGGATGTCAGTTTAGAGGTCTGATTAATCTATGGGGCCTCTGGTAGTGAATCAGTATTTATCCCTATTACATAAATGGACTTTGGGAGCCCACTCCACGTAGAGAGATACTCTCTCAGCCTAGACACACAGGAGAGGGTCTAAACCTTGCTCCAAATGATATGACAGACTTTTAAGATTCCCCAGGGAAGGTAAGGCCTTCCCTGGGGAACAAAAGGAGATGGGATTGGGGGCCAGTGGGGGCCAGGGAAAGAGAAGATAGAGAGGGAACTGGAACTTACATATAAAACAAGCTTGTTTCTAATTTAAATTAAAAGGGGGGAAGGGCAATTTAAAAAAAAGGTCTATGGCTTCTATTTTGGTTGCTGTATCTCACTCTATGTCTTATCTGTCTCATTATTCAGGAAATTACCTATATAAACATATGTGGGACCATGATCCAAGGCTTATTGTGAGAACATATAGTGGATTTCTTTCCCTCTGAGACGAGATGACTGAAGACATGGCTGACCACTTAGTCACCATTATACAAAAAACAATAACCTATAATCATTTCTTGCAGCTGCTCCCACATTCCTGATTACCTAAAACCATCAGATAATAAATGTTTGTCCTGAGCAAGTATAGTGGCACATACCTGTAATTCTAATATTCAGAAGGTAGAAGCAGAATGACCATTAGTTTGGTGCCAATTTGTGCTATATAGCATGTTTCAAGAAAGTCTAGACTTCATAGTAAAACCTTGTCTTTTTTAGGGGTCGTGCTTTTTCTTTTCGAGTCAGGGTTTCTCTGCATTGTTTTGGAGCCTGTCCTGGAACTCGCCCTATAGACCAGGCTATCCTCAAACTCCTGAGTGCTGGGATTAAAGGTGTGCACCAAAAATTCTGTCTTTAAATCTATCAGTTGATAAAACAAATGTATGCAGATTTTTTCCACTATATTTTGGACTAATTTGTTACACAGAAATAGTGAATACATTTGGTTTGCTAGCAAAAATATCAGAATGAGTCAAATGCTTGATGAATACTGATGATGAACTATTTTGTTTATTAAAATAGTGCCTTATCAGAACTTTATTTGGTATAGAAATAACAACATAAACACGAATATGATTATCAGCTAACACAGTGGAGATATTAGTACTTCTGGGTTGTTCTATGGCTATATAATTCAAAAGCTATAAGACTGGCTTAAGATAAGATAGTAGCCATTATATAGTCTTTTATGGATGGATGGATGAGAAATCAAATAGTTATTTTAACAAAGAAATTGAAATATTCCTCTTTGGAGAGAGATCCCTGTAGCATTCCTATTACCAAAGCCTATGTTAAAAAGGAAACAGGGTATGCCAATTGTCCAGAGAATCTGATTCCAAAATTCCTTTTAGCTTGTCTCTTATGCAGAGTGAAAGTAGCATGATTTAGAGTCTAGGGACTGACTTGACAATTGTTCAATCTAACATTTAAACTTGGACCTACCTTTTGTAGAACTTGGGGCTAAATTCAGGGGCTCACATATGCTAGGCCAGTACTCTGAGCTATATCCATACCTGCAGCTATCCCTAGATCTCGAGCCACCAGGGCTATAGGTTCTCTTGGCCTCTCATGTCCAAAAACTTCACCCGTGTATGGTTCACCATCTTTAAGGGATAAGTATACTGCTATCAGTTGGTGAATGATTTTCTTCTGCTTGAGATGAGAAGTTCATGGCAAATAATCTCTTCCTTGGATGTATAAGACAGGGGTCCAATACAGGAAGAGATAAGATAAAGCCAAAATATCAGGTAGGCAGGTAATTGTTTGGGGGCCTCGTGCTATGGGCTTTTTGGATTTCCAGAGAGAAATAAGTCTTGTAAGCTCAGGGCAGTTGCAAGTCACAGCCCTAAGGCCTGGCTGGTTTTGTCAATCTGGCAGTTGAGTGTCAGTGCAAAGGACATCCCCAGCACCTGAGGAAAGAATTAAGAAAATGTGAGATCTTCATAAGAGAAAACACTTCTTCCATAGATCCTGAGATTGCAAACACAGAAAAGCAAGATTTCCATCACACTGTGGCCACTCTCCAGTATCACTCATTCCCCCTCAAAGGAAGTTCTCTCTTTAAGATTAGAATAGCATTAGAAAGACTATGGGGACAATTATAGTATTATGGAAAAGTAGAAGGTCTTAGTAACATTTTTATCTTCTTAGGAAGTCACAGAAGCTTAGCTATCTAGTCAAGTTGTCTTTATAGAACAATTTAAGAAAAGTAAGTCATCTCCGCCCAAGCCATATATTTCCTTTGCTTCCAAGAAGAGAAAAGGGCATTTAACTCTTAGTTTTGACTAAGTCTTAAATAGTGTATAATATGCCCAATACTTGGGTAGAACATAGTGTTGTGAATATATCACAACAAAACAACACAATATTTTACTTATCAAAATAAGTACAAGCACAAAGGGAAAATTTCATTCATAACTTCCTTCTTAGCATAAAAGGTCAATTTTTCCAGACCAGCTAAGTGAGCAACTAATGTAGAATTCTGCTTTGCACTCTTGATTTGACTGTGACTCTAAGGGATACACTAATTTGATAAATATTCTTCTTTCTTTGTTTCTTGAGACAGAGTTTTTCTGTAGCTTTGGAGCCTGGGCTGGAACATACTCTGTAGACCAGGCTGGAACCAAACTTACATAGATCCATGTGCCTTTGCCTCCCAAGTGCTGGTGTTAAAGGCATGCACCACCAGCTAGTCATATATATTCTTATAACAAATTTCTTCATGTTTTAAGATGAATTGATAATATAATCATTGGTTACTTGGCTAGAAGAACTCATGAATAATATGACCTTTATTGCCTCATTCTACTTCCCCAGTACTGTTCTAAGACTTTATGTTTTACCTCATTTAATCATTATAAGGTTCCTGGGATTAAACTCTTACCTGTATAACACATACACAGATGGTAATGATTCCAATATACAAAAAGTTGGAGTGAAACCACAATTTTGCTTTATTATAGCAACCCTAGGAAAAAAATTAAAGGCATGAATTATGTCATTCAATATGTCAACCTTATAAGGAAGGTTACCTTGAATAGTATTTTGTATTTATTTAATACAAAGATTTACATAAGATGTTATATTTTATTTCCTTTGCATGTTTAAAGGGACAGACACAAAACAGAGAACATTAAATCAGAGACCTTTGTACTGATATCATTAGTATACTTGCACTTAACACAGAAGGTTTAGCTCTTAACAGTCAAATTATCTCCCAAGAAGTAAGTCAGAAATACTCGCCCTTATGTTCTTTGAACAATCAGTGCTGATCTAAAGTAATGAATGGGATTTTAGGTGTTGTGATCTTTGTATCAAGAAACTTATGTCTGTTTCAGTAACTGGCATTATAACCCCATAAAATTCCAGAGACATTGACTGGTAGTTGCTCTGTTTTTTTTCCTTGGATCTGAATATTTCTATACATTTCCAAACTTTGAAAAGGTTACATGGGGTCAAGACAAGATCTTAGGGATTTGGATTACTAGAAGATGACTCCATTTCCTTCTAGATGAAGAGAGACCCAAAATTAAGAGGGGTGACAGTTACTAAAAACTCTTTTTCCAAAACTCTTTCCTCCACATTTGTCTAACTCATCTCACAAAGGGAATGGATCTGCCATCGCCAAGCAGAGACAGAAGACAAACAGGTACTTCACAAGCTACTCTGCATTAATTCTGTAAATTCTATTTTAAACATAAGTAGAACTACCTTTTATTCAATAATTATCTAGATATTTCTCTGGGCTAGTTTTGCACAAACTACCAAACACGCACGCGCGCGTGCACACACACACACACACACACACACACACACACACACACACCACTCAGTTAACAGTATAACAAAATATTCTTCATGGTGTCTCTTAACTTGCTCCTAGACTTTGGATGCTTCTATAGTAAATGAGTGTTGTTTCCATGCTGTTTCTTGGTGTTGTTCCAAAATCCCTGTTTCTAGGTGGAGGGTTTAGGTTCTTTCTGGCATAGTTTATGATGTAACTAAGTTTGAACAAAGAAGACTATAACAGGAAAATTGACAACAAAATTACCTGAACATCTGCACCTGGTGGGCAGGAAGATGGTGGACCACTGGTCCAATCACTTGAGCTGTTTACACCACAACACTGCAGCTGAAAGACAAGTCCCCCAAACATGATGATTAGAAAATCAACAGAAAAAACAACACAAAAATCCTAAACTTTATATTAAAAAGTGTGCTTGTCATTCAACTCTGACTCCAGAGAAGAAAATTCAGAATCTGTCTACTACTACAGATTCCTTGGAACTAAATGTTCATGAGACTGTTATACCATTTTATTCACAGAAGATCTCTACAAAGTTGGTTTATATATTTACCTATTGAGTGCTTTCTGCCCAGGAGGCCTTGTAACACAGAACTAGGGCTAACCACATTGACTCATGAGATTATTGGAAACAGAATATTTAGATACCCATTTAGATGAGAAAACAAGAAGAACTCGCTATGGTAGTTTTGCATATAGGATAAACTTATGATCCAACTATACCACTCTTGGACACACACCCAAAGGACTCTGTATCCTACTAAAAAGAAACTTGCTTATCCATTTTTATTGCTATTCTATTCATAGTAGCTGAAATTGAAAACAGCCTAAATGTCCATCAATTGATGAATAGATGCTAAAAATGTAGTAAATTTATGCAATGAAATATTATCAATTTATTAAGAAAAATTAAATTAAGAAAATTTCAGGTATATGAATGGAGGTGGAAACAATCATCCTGGGGAAGGTAACCTGGACTTAGAAAAAAATCATGTTTTTCTCTTATATGTGGATGCTAACTTTGAATATTTATATTATTTGTTTAATTTGCAATATAAGATAGAGGTCAGAAAACTAGTAAAGGGGAAGGGGGATGCTCTCCAGAAAGAGGGGATAGAAAGAATGCTGTCATATAAAGGAGAAAATGTAATGTGAATAGTTAAGCAAGTTAGGAGATAGAAAGGCAGGATAAGGAGTAGACTATGAGGAGGGGTATGGGTAACTAACACTAAAGAGCTTTGAGAAAACTATATGGAATCTTTATATATAGATATATGGAAACTTTTATAGTAGTATGTTTCCATACAAAGGTATATTATATATATGAACACATTTAGATGGAGTTAACCTATAACTGATCAATAATGTCCCTACTATACCCTAGACTAACAAAAATTTTGTTGGAGTTGTTGGCCATTGAAGTCCTATAGACCCATATATATTACAAGTAATTGCCAGTGTCACTGGTTACCTTCTGAAACTTGTTCATAAGACCCTATTACTGAAACCACCACATACATGAGTCATGGAACATGGAGGGATCAAGCTGATTTGGAAGCTCGATTCCCACTGACTAGAATTCATAGTGTTGGAAGGTTCTGTAGAAGCTACAAGAGGAGAAAAGTAGTCATAAATCTTACAGATTTGTGACACTGAGAGCTGTAATAATGATCAACCTAGTAAGATATTATCATTGGGGCTATCATCACACAGATGTTGTGAATATAACTAAGAAGTTTCTGCTTGGATTTATGACACATAACTGACACCATTTGGGGTGTGGCAATAAGCTGTGACTACGTAGGCTATAGGCTTCTGGGGAGAATCTATTTGTATTATTTTCTAAATGTAAATAATAGCAAATCAATTTCTAATGTCTTATTACTATACCCATAGATGAGTGCATCATTTAACAATCACAAGGGAAGCTTCTTTCTTTAGTATATGATGATTAACACAGAGATCCACAACTCATAAATTTGTAGCAAATAAGAGACTATGGGGTTCTCAGTCCTAAACTGACATCTATAGTATACCATCTCCTCTCAAGGTCGAGGGATCTGTCTGGAAAAGTGGGGAGAAAGGTGTAAGAGCTAGAAGAAATGGATGACTATAAGGAAACAGCATTTCCTGTACACATTAAGGCAGTTTTACATAGGAAGTCACAGTGATTGGGGCAGCATTCACAAAAAATGAAAAAGTATGAAGGGTAGAATGACCAAGAAGTCCCATCCCTAGCTTAAGAGTTATTGGCAACTGATTATGGCTGCAATAAGTCATTTCTTAAGGGTATAAGAATACCCCTGGCAGGTGAACTACATTGCTATGGGATGACCTCACCCAAAAATATATAGGTATCCCTAACTGAAGTCTGGGTTTAAAAATAGCATGAGTATACAAACTTCAGTGAGTGGGGAAGTGGTGGAAGATCTGGGAAGAGTTGAGGAGCAAATATGATCAAAATGTATTGTATGAATTCTCAATTAATTAAATGGTGTTATTTTACAGAAAGAGAGAGAGAGACAGAGAGAGAGAGAGAGAGAGAGAGAGAGAGAGAGAGAGAGAGAGAGAGAGCTCATCAAGCCTCTAGATTCACAGTACTTCTGGGAAACAGATTTCCTGCTATCAAAATACCTGTGGTAATACACCAGTCAAATACAGAAAATGGTGAAATCTATAGGACAAATAACATAATTTTTGCTCACATACACATAATATGAAGGAGTAGGACACTGTTATAGGGTGAAAGAAATTTTGAGACATTTCATCCAAATGTAACATTTACACCTTCTTAGATCTTGATTTGTTCAAGTCAGTTGTAATGGGAGATGTCACTCTGTAAATATGTCTCTTACTGGTTGTTGAATAAAGCACTGTTGGCCAATAGGGAAGCAAGATAGGTGGGACTAGGAGTCAAAGAGGATCCTGGGAAAGAGAGGCAGAGACAGACATGATATAGATCGCCAAAGTAAGAGGTCTGGACCCTTTTCTCTGGTAAGAGAAATACTTAGATTAACAATTATGGGTTAAATACTTAAGTCAGAGCTAGCCAGTAAGAAACAAGCAAACAGCCAACAGCATCATAATTAATATAGTGTCTTGTGTGTTATCTGGGGACTGCAACTGTGGCAGGACCCAGGCGGATGGCGGGGAAGGCAACATTCTACACACTTGAAATTTTAGAGAAAATTAGAATAATTGGAATATAGACTATTGGTGATATTTGAGGATTTATTTATTAATTTGTGTGAGTGTGTGCATGTATGAGTGTGTGCATGAGTGTAATTTCACTACATGCATACAGAACATGTGCAAAACAGAAAAGAGCTTCTAATACTTTGGAAATGGAGTTGAAGGAAGTTGTGAGCCACCAGGTAGGTACTATAACAAAACCCAGATCCTCTGGCAAAGCAATAAGTGCTCTTAACCAATGATCAGACTCTTTAATGATTTTTAATGAGTGAGATGATATAAGTATTTTGTTTGGTTTAGAATATTGCAGCAAAATGTTTAGGGGATTCAATGAGGTGACTGTGACAAAGTTGATATGAAGCTAGTGACATGTATAAAGAGATTTATTTATTTTATTTTATTTATTTATTTTGTTTTGCTTTTATTTTATTATGTGGCTGAATATTAAAAAGGGACTTCTAACTGAATTGAAACAAATGAGGAATCGGAAATCTAAAGAGGTTGTGGTTTTTCCAAGTCTTCCCATTCTTATTTTTATGTTGTAATTTCCTGTTATTACTGTCTATTCCATATTAATGGGTGATGATCATACTCTTCGGACATATATCATGCCTGTGCAAAGGCTCTCTAATCCATATTTGTCCCCTAACATTCTAAGGAAACAATGTAAAGTTGATGTTTGCTCATGGGTATGGAGAAGCATGAGGAATGTGACACTAGAGGGATAGGTAAAAAATGTAATGATTTTGGTGACTTGGGAAATTAAAAAAGATTTCCTTTATTCTACTGATATTTTAATGACATTTTGCAAAATATACAAAGTCATCCAATATGATTTATTTGGGTCTTCATTTCATCTTTTAGAGCTGAACAACAATCTTATGTGAGTTGGTAAAGAATGAAATAGAATGCAGAAAAAATGTTTCTGTTGCATGAATTCCTATGCTCCTCTGCCTGTGATAGAACAGACATTCATTTGGACTTTGAGTCTGAAACCTTTAGGAAAGAGACACTGGTTCTAGGGACCAAAGTTGGGAATTCTATCTGACTCATCTGAGCATGATTCTTTATGTACTTACATGTGACTGGATGAAGTCCCATGCCGCCATGGTGCTGTTGTCTGAGTGATAATGTTGAATGCTGTCATTCAGGCCCTCTGCCACATAAGTGTTCAGCTAGGGTAAATCATATTCCACAAGAGAAGATATAGGAAAAACAAGATGGATTCAAGAAATAAGAGATTTCTAGTAGACCAAAAATATTCCCCCACCCAAGGACTCATAACTGGGGAAGCAAGATGAGGGAGAATGCATGGGAAGGCAAACTGAAGATGATATACATAATGGACTTTTATCCCTGCAGAACTATACTTACAAGGGAGGAAAGCTAAAACCAAAGCCAAGGTCAAACCTTACTGAGAAGATTGCCAGCTCCATAAAGAGAAGTAGGCAGGAGGAAAACAAACTTGCATCGTTTTATCTCCAGTTATCTTTCAAGGCATCATTCAAATACAATCTTCATGTTATTTTTTCTCTCCTCAACTGCAGTTAATATCTCATCCTCCTACTTCATTTGTATGACTTTCTACTAATTTTGTTTTACTAACGTCTCCACTGTGTATTCCCCATCTCAGCACAGCAAGAGAGCAAGACATGTTCTTTATAACTTACCTTTTGTTCATACACAAAGAGCAGGATGGCTAAGGTCACCTCAGCAAGAAGAATAATCATCAGCAGAACAAAGAACTGTGGCAAAGCAGAGACATGATCAGATATTGATCCCTGTGTCTGATCTACCTCTCTCTGCCTTGGGAGCAAACATATATATAAATGTGTGTATATGTTTGTATGTGTGTGCAGTGCACACACACACACACACGCACACACACACACACACACACACACACACACATTCATGCATGGGAACTGCTCCTGTCTCCTCAGGGCTTCCTAAGTTTTCTCTTGTTTTATGATTAATATGTTTTCTTTTCCTACAACTGGACTCTAAAAGGCAGATCAGCTACCACCTAACTATTTCCTAACACTGTTGAATTAATTTTTAGCATCAGCTTAGTGAACCACTTGTGCAAAAAGCCAGAAAATTAAAGCATGAGTTTGGGTCCTGGTCCCCTATATCAGATCAAGCCTAGCCCAAGGTGTAGGGTGGATGAAGATGAAGCTCAGGAGAACATCTGCATGGAGGAAGAGGGACCCCAATCATAATTCTAAGTCAATTTTTTATCTCCAAATTTAGAATTTTAATGCCTTCATGACATTTATACAAAAACATTCACAATTTCATTTTTTATTCTCCTTAAAAAATCCTAAACAATTTTGGCTGCTTAAATCATTTGTTCATCTCTGATATTTTCTATCATTTTCAGAAATGTTTGATGACACTTATTTTTAAATTACTGTTATTATTATTGATCTTGGCTCTAAGTATCGATCTGCAAGAAAAGACTGATCACATGATTTAAGGGATAACTGAGATTGGAACACATAAGAATGGAGGCATTGTTATACCAACCTCTGTCCTTAGTCCTCTAGGAAAATTATATCTCCTCTACTCCAATGCTAGTATGAAAAATCTAAGCCTGATCGTACTCCTCAGTTGGTTATTTGATAGGGAACTGCTGCAAATCGCTTCCATTTCTAATAGTCAAGGAATTCAGCAAGGTCTTTACCTAAATGGTATCACTCTTACTATGAAAGCTACTTTGACATTAATTAAAGAAGAACTCTATGTCATTGGGGGGTCACTATGTTCAGAAGAACCTTCTGATTATTTTTCATCAGTTACTATGTCAGATCTTGAAGTATGTTCTTACTTATGGATTTAAGCAGAAAGATAATATCTAATTTCAATCAGACATTGAGGAAAAATATTATGCTGTGAAAGGAGATAACAGTGACAAGGGCCATTATTGACAGTGTAAAATGGACACCATAGATAACATCAATGTCTTCTTCTACATATACTTGGGATCCCATCAATGTCTTCTTCTACATGTCCTTGGGATCCCAGTGAGAAACAAACTAATATCAGTCTATAAAATCTTGGCTGATAAGACATGGTTAGCTTTAATTATCAACTTGATAGCCTAGAATCCACTGGCAACTAATAAATGGATAAATTTTCTAGACTAGGTTGATCTGTAGGAAAGTCTGTGGGGGAATATTTTGATTGTTAATTGAAATGGGAGTCCAACCCTGACTATTGGTAGCATTATCTCATTGGCTGAACCCTGACCTGTTAAGCATAAAGAAAGCTACCTGAGAATACACAGCAAGCAATCAATGATTCAAGCACTGTTCTCTACTTGATCTTGACTACAGATGTAATGTTGTAAGTCCCTGCTTTAATGTTCTGTAACAATTGACTATATTCCCTGTATTCATGAGATCAAACAAATACCTTCTGCTTCTAAATTTCTCTTTTTCAAGGCATTTTACCACAGCAACACAAAGGAAATAAAATCAGAAATTGGTACCAAGGAAGTAGGGCTACTGCTGTAATGAACCTGGTGGTGTTATTTTTGGAGGAATAAGGAAGATGTTGGAATATTGATCTGGAAAATCCCATGAGTGATTCGGGCAGAGCTTACTGGAATTTTCTTGTGGGATACTGAAAAGGGGATTACTAAGAGTAACACTGATGGCAGAGGTCCAGATCATGGACTTAGTCATTAACTAAGGCTAGGGAATATTCATGTGACATTTTGGCTAAGAATCTATGTGTGATGTTCGTATTGGAGCTGAACAAAGCTATGATTTATCAGAGATTTCCAGCATTGAAGCAAACCTTCCTGTACGTCACTGGAGTAGACTTTCAGTGTGATATTTTGCTCAATAATCTGTGTGTACTGTTCATGCTAGGACTAAAAAAGCAGCTATACTTGCCAAAGAAGTCAATACCACTGATGTGAACTCCTTGTGCTTCATTGGACAATTGAAATTGTCTCCTCAGAGTCATCACAGCTTCTGAAGCTGATACATTATGGCCCAAAGGGACAAAGCTACTTCTTGAGTTTGTAACAGAATCTGAAAATGTGGTACCATGTGTGTGGTACTAGTTTTGAAGGTATAAAGTATTCACAGAGAGCAACTGAGTATTGGAACTTTGTGTTAGTGTCAGGCCTTCTTCAGAGAGGCCACTAGTGAATGTGATGCTTCAGTTATAATAGAGCCCCCAGGACACTGAAAATTCTAAACCCATAGGAGTATACAAAGGAGACCTACAAATGTAGAGAGGAACTGGCCTACTCCCAAGACAGAATCTATACGTACTACTTGCTACAGGCAACATAACTGGAGGGATGGAACTACACAAGTTGCTTAGAGTTTAGAATACAAGACCCACCTGTGAGATATTAGAGCTACAATATTTGATCTAAAACCAACTGATTTTTTACTATTTCTTTTGTTTTTTTGAGTTTATAATATAATTACATCATTTCCCCTTTTATTTCCTCCATTGAAATTCTCCAATATACCTCTCTTTTCTCTTTTGCAAATTCATATCCTTTTTTCAATAATTATTTATATATTCCTAAATACAACTGGCTGCTGTTTTTTTGTTTTGTTTCATTTTGCATGATTGTTATTATACCCTGTTTCTTCTCTTTTGGAATAACAATGTTTACATGTGTAACTTCTTTTTATTTCACAGATGCTCACAGTTAAAAGACCTTGGACTTTGAAGTCTTGAAAATTGTGTAAGACTTTAGGAGAGTTCTGGAATTGGACTATATTTTATATTCTGATAGTAACCTGAGACATATGGAGCAAGTAATAGAAACTTATGGCTCAAAATGATGTTTGTATATATTAAATTGACAAGCAAGAGACTGTGTAGGTTACTTCTTATTGTAAACTTGACACAACCTAGAATAAACTGGGCAAAAAAAAACTTCCATTGAGGGTCAGGTTAGCCTGTCAGGGATTTTCTTTATGTTGACTGGTACAGGAAAGCCCAACTCACTGTGGTACATTATTCCATAGGCTGGCATCTGAGTGGCAATAGAATGAAGAAAAACAGGAAGTAAGCAAAAATCTTGTTTTTGTTATCTCTCTGCCCTTTTTCCCAAGACAGGGTTTCTATGTGCAGACCTGGCTGTTCTGAAAGTTGTTCTGTAGACCAGGCTGCCCTCAAACTCAGAGCTCCCTCTACCTCTGCCTCCCGAGTACTAGAACTAAAGATGTGCACCACCACTGCCTTCCTATCCCTCTCTGCTCTTTAATTATACATTTCATCCAAAAGTAATCTACCATGAAACATATCACCCTGGACTTGATACATCATCTATGCCAACTCAGAATATCACAGTTGATGCAAGGACTCACCGACATAAGCAGGCACTTATTTTCCTTGATTGAGCCCATGCAGCCCAAGAAGGCAACTACCATGATAATTGAGCCCACAATGACGAGAACATTGCCCAGTGTCAGGAAGGGAAGGTTACGGAAGAGCACTCCATAGGTGTTTTGGACCAGGAAGTAGATACCAAAGCCCAAAATGCAACAGCCACAGACCTGGAAGGAAAAATTTAATATCATTCTAAGGTAAATGTAGTCCTTAAGTATCTCCTCATTTGTATTCTCAACTTCTTGAGATCAGAATCATTTGGGACTTTTTGCTCACCCAAGACTCCTGAGGTCACCTCTTCACTCAGTTTCCCCACTATCATATAGAAAGGAAATACCCACTCTGTATATGGAGTCACATTCATATCTTTTACTTCACAGATCCAGATACCAAGGAAATATCATATTTATGAGAGACCTAATATATTCACCTTTACTATATTACATGTCTAACTTTATACTTCAGATGTTATATCTCTTGTCTGTTCAGTGGTCCACATGTGGCCTTCCTTTTGGAGAGTACAACCACATAGTGAAGACACTCTGTTTAAAGAAGGTTATCTTGATAGGGAGACTACCAGAGATGCCAAATTTATATGAATATTCTCATAAACATATGAGTACTGATTCATCTTATATATGTAATGCAGCTGCTGAATCCAATATATTGAATTCTGTTTGGACATCTCTTTTTTCATGTTAAATTACCAAGTATGGACATATATGTCTGTAACTTTACATTTTTATTAATCCATATTAATTATATAAAATATTTCATTGTTATATTTCTACCCATCAAGCACATAGGGTAATTTGATCATATTCACATCTTGTTAATCTTTCTTATATGCTTTTTCTTTTGTGTTTTCCTGCTTCCCACTCTTAATAGTCCCCTTTTAGTTAAATGCCTTTCTTTATTTTTTCTTTGCTTCTGCATATGAAGAAGATGTCATACTTTTGTATTCGGTACTAACTTACTTCACTTAAATTCCATAAAGTTTTCTGCATAATTTTATTCTTCTGATGGCTAAGAAAAGCTCTATTGTGTACATATACCACATCACATACTCCTTATCCTTTGTAGATGGGTGTCTAGTCTGCATCAGCAAAAATCAGAGATGTTCAAGTATCTTTGTGGTAAGGTGATTATCATTCTTTTGAAGACAAAATAAGAAGTAAAAGAGCTAGATCATACGGAAGTGCAAAATTTGAAGAAAAATGGAACGAAAAACCAATGCAACAAATGAACAATAAAAATGAACAGTTTTAAAATAATGAAGTACACATCACCAATAAATATATGGAAAAAGGTGTTTAGCATCTTCAACTGCTAAAACTAAATGGAGATTCCACTTCATCTTACCAGAATGTCTGTCATAAGGAAAACTATCAACAATAAATGGTGACCAGAATGACAGAAAAAGAAGCGCTTTCACACTATTAGTAAGAATACAAATTAGCCTAGATACTGCAGAAGCCATTAATGATATTCTTTTAAAAGTTCAAAATAGAACTTCCATGGTTTCTTTGTCAATATTCTTCCATGGGTTCAGGGATGAGGAGAGAATAGAATCTGACACTCAAATTGTAGTCCATTTCTCACTTATAAATACTAATTATTTGCAATGTTACCCTAGAGACCCCAGACAGAATTGGCACCTCCATTATTAACTCACTGATACTTTTCAATTTTGTAGACTTATACTGTGACAAAATAGCAGGAGGGGAAGAAATTATTACTCCCTTATACCTATATGAAATGTTTTGGATATTACCGAGGTGTGCACAGTTCATATTCTATACTATATTATTTAACTGAGAAGAAAGGACAGATTAGCTGGGATGGAGGGGTGTTATTTCAGACATGTTCAAAGGAGATACTTACCCAAAAGAGCAAGTTAAAGAAAAACAGGACATATTTCAGCAATTTTAAAGTGCTCATGCCCATGCTGGGATAGTATGACCTAAAAAACAGAAGGAATAAGAAAGGAATTTTTATGACAATTTAGCACTGTAAGGTAGCACAACAGACTCCAAACTGCAAGTGTTTATAGTTCAAGGATTATCACCACCATCTTGTGTTTGATCTATTCATCTCTTCTCTGGAAAGTTTTCCCCAAATCTCTGCTTCCATACTTTCAAAACTAAAGCCCAGGTTGAAAAACCATCATCTTGAACACTGAATGTTCAGTAAGCAATGTTTGGTGTTACCATAAGCCTCAACACCCAACAATAAAGCTATTCTAACAAGAACCTGAGTCACAGTGACACAAAATAAGCCAGAGCTTTTGGTCCTGTGTGACATTAGTGACATATATATGGCTACTCAAGAATAGCTTTTGAGGCCAAGACTAGATGATCGATGCATAGAGTAGAAGGCCAGTGACTTGATCACCCAGTTACTTAACTGTCTTGAGATTCATTACTTAGTAAATTTGTTGTTGTTTATTTTTGTAACTGTGTTTTAATGGCAACATCTATCCCTTCCCATTCATTCCTTCAAGCCTTCTCATATACCCTTCTCAACTCTTCTTGAAATTCATGGCCTCTTTTTTTATCAGTTGTCATGGAATGGTCTATAAACCTCTCCATATGAAAGTACAAGGTGATACATATGCCTCATTTGTCCTTTTATGCATAATTATCTATTATATTTCTGTTCTAGATATGACCATGGCAAAGCATTAAATGTCTTCCAATAGACGCTGATCCTATAGCAGAAATGAAACACACAAATATATAATGAGGAAGTTAAAATTGACCACAATATGAACACAGTCTTTTATTCTTATTGTTTTAGTTTTTAGTTTTAGTTTTTTGAAACAGGGTTTCTCTGTGGCTTTGGAGGCTGTCCTGGAACTACATCTTGTAGACCAGGCTGGTCTCGAACTCACAGAGATCTGCCTGCTCCTGCCTCCCAAGTGCTGGGATTGAAGGCATGTGCCACCGCCTGGCTGAACACAGTCTTTTAAATGAGGTTATCTCATTTTTAGCAAGGATACCATTGTGTGGATGTATAAGATGTATTACATTGTATATGCATATATGTATATGTGAGTACAAGAGGAGTACATCATGTTCCAGCTCTATCACTCTTTCATATATGCCATTAGGGAGATACACACACAGAGGGTGAAGAGAGAGAGAAACAGGCGAGGGATAGAGAGAATGGGGAGGGAGAGAGGACGAAAATGAAGGGAAGGGAAAGAAAGAAAGAGAGATAGCATTATATCTAAACAATGTCCATGTAGATAAACCAGGACAATCTCATTTTAAGATATGAATATGAAGATGATGACAAATTCCTGTAATCCCTGTGCTGGGGAGACTTAGGCAGGAGGATTACAAATCTGACATCATTCTAGGTTACATAATGAATATATGTATATATGTAAATTAGGCTGCTAAAGCTAAAACAGCATAGCCTAAGATAAAAATATACTGGGAAGTATTAATAGAAGATAATGGTAGATATTACATAAGAAAAAATTAATGAATTTTAAGGTAGTAAGAAAAATATCAAGAAAGGACATGCAACAAAATTTAAATAAATAGAGCATCTCAAGATGAAGTAATGTTGAGTGTTATAATTTGTCTGTAATGGGAGTCTCCAAAGGAAAAAAGAAAAAAATACTTGAAGAATTAATACATGTAATAAATTCTAAACTAGATTAAAATAATTTACTCACCTGACAAAGAAGATCAATGAAAATGGTGAAGAATATAAGATACATATGAGATTTGTTCATTGTATTCATACAGTGGGACTATAATATGTACAAAAGCTAAGGGAATTTCTCCTCAGCAGATCTACACTACAATAAATATTCAAGGAAATCCTCCAGGAAAATTGATAGAACAGAGGCAAGACCAACATTACTGCATAGATAAGTAGACCAGGTTTTCTTGTTAGTTGTGATTTGAATCTTAAATAGCCCCTAAAGACTCATGTGTTAAATGAAACCTTGGTCCCAGCTGATGGTGCTATCAAAAGGTGATAAATTATTTAGGATGTGCAGCTTATATGAAAGCTTTAGGCCACTGGGGGCATGCCATTGCAGGATATATCCTTCTTTATCTTTCCATCTCTCCCAGTCTCTTCTCTTTTTTTCATCTCCCTCTTTTTCTCAAACATATAAGAACACTTTTGCTCTGCTCTGTGCTCTCACCACGATGTTTGAGCCTCAGAATACACGCAAAATAATGGAACCAGTTATTATACATTGCATCTTTTGAAAGTATGATTAGAAGTGGATTTTCCTCTTTTAAGTAGTCGGCTTCCTAAGGAATTGTTTTGCACAATAAAGAAAAGTTAACTTCACATTATTTAAATACCTTTAGTAAACACTGGACTGTGAACAGCAGTATTGTCTGAGTTTTATTCATACTATTTCTGGACCACCACCACCAATTCCACCAGCACTACCAACAACAAAATAAAAGTAATCTACAATCATTGTTCATTGCTTTTAGACCATAAAGCCCATTTCTGTGAGTGTTTGTGCTTTACAACAACCTAAATGACTCCTGTGTTATCTTAGGACCAGGGCAATCCAGACACCCTGGTCACAAGCATCATGTTTGCCACAGTCCAACTCCCTAGACTCTAAATCTGGGGCACTATTTCTAAGTCAACAGTACCCATTATTGTGAAAATAGCCAAATGTACTTTGTAAGGAATTTGAATGTAAACATGTCTTAGATTGTGCACTTGGGGCTCAGTTAACTGTTATCTGAATATTTTTCTAAGATTGTCCTGTGTTTAAATATGGCTAAAGCAAAATTATGTGGGTCAGACTCTAGAAGTCCTGGACAAGCACCAGTTATAACAAAATTGGGCTAATCTGAGTTTCATGCTTGTCTCTTTTTAGATAGTCTTTTCCCTGTCTGCTGTAAAGCCTGTAGGGGAATCACCACAGGAGAGAGCTCATATTAGCAGCATGCCTAAAAGCTCTAGAACAAAATGAACTAAGCCTCCCTAAGAAGAGTAGATAGCAAGAAATAATCAAACTGAGAGCTGAGATAAAAATCAAAACAAACAGAACAATACAAAGAATCAATAAAACAAAGAGTTTGTACTTTGAAAAATCAACAAGATAACCAAACCCTTATCCAAACTAAGAGAGAATATCCAAATTAATATCAGAAACAAAAAGATAGACATAACAACAGAGACCAAGAAAATCCAGGGAATTATAAGGACATATTTTAAAAACCTGTACTCCACCAAATTGGAAAATCTTTAAAAATAAAAGATAATTTTCTTGATAAATACCACTCACCAAAGTTAAATCAAGACCAGATAAACAATTCAAACAGACTATTAACCACTAGTGAAATACAAGCAGTCACCTAAAATTTCCCAACAAAAAGAGCACACTACCAGATTTTAGCAGCACAGAATTCTACCAGATTTTCGAAGGAAAGTTGAGGCCAATACTTGTCAAATTATTCCACAAGATATAAACAAAAGGAACATTGCCCAATTCATTTTATGAGGTCATGGTTACCCTGATCCCCAAACCACATATAGACTCAACAAAGACAGAGAATCACAGACCAATTTCTGTTACGAACATAGGTGCAAAAATACACAATAAATATTTGCAAACAAAGTTCAAGAACACATCAAAAGATCATCCACCATGATCAAGTAGGATTCATTCTAGAAATGCAGAGCTCATTCAATATATGAACATCAAAAACGTGATCTACCATATAAACAAACTGAAAGAGAAACACATAATCATCACATTAAATAAATAGAAGGCCTTTGACAAATCCAACACCCTTTCATATTAAAAGTTTTAGAGAGATTGGGAATATAAAGAACACACCTAAACATAATAAAGGCAATTTACAGCAAGCCCACCCCCAACATAAGTTTCAATGGAGAAAAGCCGAATACCACTAAAACCAGGAATACGAAAGGTTGTCAACTCTCTTCATACTTATTTAATACAGTACTTGAATTTCCAGCTAGATCAATAAGAGAACTGAAGGGCATCAGGGGATACAAATAGTAAAGGAAGAAGTCAAAATATCTTTATTTGCAGATGATATGATAGTATATACTGGTGACCCCAAAAATTCCACCAGGAAATTCCTACAGCTCATAAACATTTTCAGTGAAGAAGCTAGACAGATTAACTCAAAAGAAAACCATATACCTCCTATATACAAATGACAAGTGTACATTTGCACAGTAGAGTATTACTCATCTGTTAAGGAAATGACATCATAAAATTTACAGGTAAATAGATGGAACTAGAAAACTCATCCTGAACAAGGTAACCCAGACTCAGAAAGATAAATATGGCCTATATTCAGTTATAGGTGGATATTACCTGTTAAGTAAATGATAACAAAGCTACAATTTATAGGTTAGTTAAAGAAGAAGGTTCTGGGGGTGGGGAGTGGATATCCATGGATGGGTAAATAGAGTAGATTTTACTGGCAGCCTGGGAGTGGCTGGGAAGAGGATGGGAGAGGATCAGATTTGGGGGAAATTGGGTAGAGGAAAAGCGTGCAGGAAAAAAAGACTAGAATTTGAGATTTTAGGGGTCCTTAAGGGATGGTATGTAAACCTAGTGCAGTGGAAACTTTATGGAATTTATAAAAGTAAGCCCAGTGAGGGTTTCTAGTAATGGGGGATACAGAGGTTCAACAAGCCATCTCTTGTCACCAGGCTATGATTCCAGTGGTAGAACTAGGTTGCATTCTATTGAGTTGTTGGTCAAGGGGGTCCCATGGAAAGACTATCACTAAGACAAAAGGTTGATCTCTGCCAACTGACAGTGCTGTCCCATTTCCAAGGTAATACCCACACAATCTATCAAACATGGAGAAGTTGAGCCAGTGCCTACATGGAACCTTAACCACTATATTTTAGTCTCTTTAGTGCAGGCTACTGAAAGAAATGTGAACAATGCAGCCACAAAACCTATGACCTACAATCAGTCCT